ATCATGAGCTAGTCAGTGTTAGACCTCTACTGAGAACGCAGTAAATTGCTGTTTCAGTTTATTTTATTCCTAACGAAAATGTTTACTCGTTTCTCAACCGAAAGTCATCTATTTGAATCTCTCTTCATCTACATCAGGTTAAGGAGCCGAATAATATCAATTACTATCACAGAAACAGTGTCTTAAAGCTTAGTATGTCTAAATCTGTACTTGATAGACAAATTATGCAGAATTGTAGCTATCTTGAAGATAGTTTAAATTTGTTATGTCTCAGTTAATAACACCGTTGAATATTTTAGACAGCTAATTAAAATAACTGGTTTGCAGAGGAGTTCGATGATGCACTTTGCACGACAACACACTCTACCAGCCTAACTAATAAGATGGCAGGATGATCGTGGAAAACAGTACCAGTAGTTAATTCAGTCGTGGTATAATGGAGGTGACTTGAGAATAGATTGTATTCATAAACTTCACGATAGATTTCCAGAAGTCCCAAAGTGAAGTTGTTCTGTGTGTAGTCAACTATGTCAGGATAAAAATAGTAGCTCGTCGATGAGACTATACAAGTCGAATATACGGATCAAAGGCACTCAACGTTTTGGATTCGATCTCATGTTCGGTTATTGATGCAGTTTTGTGAATGTTGAAGTACCTGATCAATCCTGTCAGACTCAACTATCTGACGTAGGCTAGCAAAGAAATTGCACTAATGTTTTTATACTACTTAAAGTAGATAAATTCGGAACTAACATTTTCATCCACTTGTTTTCATTGTTTCGTTTCTGAAAATCCATTACCTGTTCATATTATCCACTGTATTACTGGATGAGATACGCATTCATATGTATGGTGTCGTTTTTCAGTACTGTATACTAAAAAACCATTTTGTGTTGTGTCAGTTATTTTTCTATGGGTACACACGAAATATACATTGATATTTCAATAGTTGAGATCATGAGTGAATTGAAGCTAGACCACCATGGGTAAGCTCGAAGCTTAATTTCGTGGATTATTTGAAGTTAGACACTAACACCTTTGGGTGCCGTCTCAATGATCTAGTGGATAAGCGGTTGGCACGAGACTGATAGGTCCTGTGTTCGAATCTCGCGGGGCGGAGTCGTGGATGCGCACTGCTGAGTCCCACGATAGGACGAAACGGAAGTCCAGTGCTTCCAGATTTTCCATGTTGATTTAGCTTCAATTGACTCATAATCCTAACTATTGGAATTACTATAATATCCACAAAAACCCCTTCTGATACATTGATAGTGTTTGAAATCATGTAAATGACTTTTGTACAAGTCAGTGGCTATCTGGAATCAGTAACTAAATGAGTACCGCGTTGAAAGCAAATAATACTGGATTTGAGTTTCAGCATTAACACCAACACTGGGATGAATGTATGTCCAGTTGGGAAGTCCTAAATAAGATGTGACACTCATTCTGAGTTTCACTGTTAGTCACGATCAAAAATTTAATTGCAAAAACGTACCTGCCAAATAATTTATTCTTCACTGATTAGAATTCCGCCAATATAACCTTTTTAAAATTAGCTAAACATGTTAGCTGTAAGAAGAAAACAAACGAAATACAAGAAGTATAGATCTATCGATACTTTGCAAGCATTGCTTCCCTTAATTTTGTTCAAAACTGATGAAGGAAACAAATTTCACTAAAAGTCATTTTTTAACTAATTAATTTATTTATTTAAACACATAAACATTGGTACAAGGACGTACCAAACAGGTATGCGCCACATGAATCATTCGATTTGTGTGAAGGCTAGGATACTGCCCGGGTGCTCAAACTGAAGCACGTGGTTCTCTTGGGGGGGGGGCACACCCGGAGTCTTTGACCAAGAGGTCTGGTCCGCAAAGCAGTGAAGCAACGTAAGGAGTGCAGTCCTATGATATCCAGTGATCAACAGTAGGTTCATACGCCATTTGTTCCTTCAGGATCTTGGAGCCCATGTACACCATTGGTTCGGAATCAGGGTTTTCCAACTGCCCAAGATAAATCTTCCGTATTCATCAGCCCCGTTTAAGCCCCATCGGACATTCGCTTTTCGTCCTCTCAATTTTGTAAACAACACCCGCGCCATGAGAAGGCAGTGAGTAGGATTTCTCCGGCAGTGGTTTTATGCGCGTGACCATGTGAGAGTATTTGGAAAGGGAGAACTGACTCTCCCCACTCTCGGCTGTACCAGGGCGAAAAAAGCAAGACTTACAGTATAACATGAATTCATTATATTTCGAGGCTTTTCACTAACTGTAAACAACGTCAATCTACATTAGTAATATAAATATGTAAAAAATTTTCATAACATACCTCAACCAATGAAGTTCGGTTCGAAATCAAAAGACGAAACAACATAATAACTAAGACTGATATGTATTCCTTATGTTGAAGATGAAGTTATTCAATGAAGGGGTTAAAGTTGTAAATGATAATAAACATAACATAAATAAAAACAAATTGTGAACAGATGAGCGATAATCAAGACACCTAGTTGACAACATAAATGTTATATATGTAGAGAACACCACTCCTACTCCGATCTGCAGAGGTCATTACCATCGATCGCTTTCAAAACTTACTTTTGTATACAGAATAGTGATGTCATAAACTTCTTGTTACCACAGTTAGATAGTTTGTATTATTTTAACGTTTGTAAATGAAATGATCTATTTATCGATTTTATTAATCAAATTTTATTGACGTTCATTTACGATGTTAACTTGATGAGTATGATGGCAATTAGGTGCCTTGATTATTGCTAAGTTATTTCTATTGATTGTCTCTTGATTATCATTTACAATTTCACCGCCCCCCCCCCGGTTATCATTTTTTTATGATTTTATCTTAAACATACACATACACTGATCAATCTTAGCTATTATGTTAGCCATGTTGTTCCATCTGATTGCAGACTAAACCTCATTGATTATGGTGTGTAATTAAGACTTTTTACAATAATATTACTAATGTAACTTGCAGATGTAAAAGTGAGGATTGACAAAGTAGAGGCAGCATTTTTACAAGTGAAGAATAGATGGGACTGAAAAAAACTGTTTGTCAACCAATATTGAAGTGAGAATCTCCAATATGAACGTCAAGGTAATTCTTACTGTACGGAGGTGAAACTTGGAGAACTACTACAATCATCATCAAAAAGGTACAAGTATTTATAAATAATTGTCTACGTATGATACTGAATGTCCGGATACCATCGGCAATAGCCTACTATGGGAGAGAATAAACCAACTTTCAGTTGAAGAGGAAACTATGGTAAGATGCTGGAAGTGGATAGGACATACATTATGGAAATCATCAAATTGCATCACGAGGCAAGCCGTAACTTGGAATCCTGAAGGGAAACAAAAGAGAGGAAGGCCGAAGAACATACTGTGTCGAGAATTGAAAGCAGACATGAAAAGGATGAATAGCAACTGGAAAGCATTGTTCAGGATAGAAAATTCAGGTGGGCGATCTATGACTCTCCACAAGTGGTAACAGGCCTAAGTAAGTAAGTACCAATGTAACTTCGGAACCGTTTGTATCTGGTGCAAAACTATGAATTCATGCTATTTTACAAATCTTGTTCTTCTCCGTTTATCTAAATTTATTAAGCGATCTGGATCTACGGAACTATATTTTAAATAAGTGAATACTTTCACTAAAAGTAATACATACAAGATTAATCCCCTTATTTCTTCACTCATATGTCACAAGTTTATATGACTGTCAACAAACCTAATGACTTTAATTGAAATTTGAATTTTCAGCATTTAGTGGGGTAGCAATTGATGATGCTTACTTACGCCTGTTACTCCCAATGGGCCTACTACAAGGCCGCCAACTAGCATTCTCCAACCCACTCTATCCTGAGCCTTCCTTCTTAGTTCTATCCAATTGTTGTTCATTCTTCTCATGTCTGTCTCCATTTCTCGGCGTAATGTGTTCTGATGATGCTTATACTGAACAAAAATAGTATTACATTCATTTCAATTATTGACTTCAGTTATCATATCAATCTCAAATATCATCACATGGTCTGCATCTGTCCATACATCTCAGATCAATAGGCCATGATTCCATAATGTCGTATTCTAGTTTAAACAGTGCTAATGAGTTCAACTGTATGACTATTGGGATATTCAGAAAAATATCCCAAAAATTATCCTGTTACGTCCAATGCTATCCTTGGACCTGAAATGGTATCATTCTCCTGTTGTTCAGTTTTTATTTCACGTGTCATTTTTCTGTTGTACAAGCGTTATTTTCTATTTTATGGTACGTTGTGGTCTGTCTAGTTGATAATATAAACCGAGTATGTTTGAAATATAACGATTCATATCTCAGAGGCTGAGACTTGCGTTCTGGACTTATCTGGCTGGACTAGGCGGAAAGCATGGTCAATCAGAACTCTAGGCTGCTCATACGGGTTTACGCGTCATTGATCCGATCGATAAGTCACTGCTCCATAATCAGCGGTCACAAGTTATAACAATGACGTTCCATTAATTCGTATTTGTAATGATTTTTTGTCCGGCCATCTAATTGGTCATCATTTTAAAAAAAAAGTTTATTAACTTCATATGCTTCAAGGTTATTAACATGTTGTTCCTTTTCAATTATCAACTTTAGTTTGGAATATAAACCTATCCTGATGGTCATGTCGTTTCTATCTTATCTTAGAGTGTATAGATTATTATTAACTTTAAAGTGTTATTACTATTGTTGTTGTGTACCAGAAGTCTGATATATTCAACTTCTCATTCGTTGGATTATTAGTAAAGAAGAAAAAATCTCAATTGTTTATTATAAATACAATTTACCATAGGCTAACTACTACTGGAAACTCCGCTCCGCTCCCCTCCCCCTCAAAAAAGGTACCATTGTTTAATCAAGATAATAAATAACACAATCAAACAAAGTTCATAATATAATGTATTGAAGTATGTAATAAAACAAACATTATAGTAGAAACAAATCTTATGAATGATTTTTATTTAGTTTTAATTCTGTCAAGTTAATACATAACGATAATGATGATAATAAAAAGAAGAACAAAAAGAAAACGGGTTAAGAAGAGAACAAAAAAACACATGATGAAACAAGTTTTTTTTCGTTTGTATGTGTGTGTGTGTGAAAAATACCATACAATCCATTTGATTTAACCAACAAACACACTAACCAAAGCTAAATCATATGAAAAGCACTCATATATATATAATGGACAGATTGAAACAGAGAAAAGTGGTAGTAGTCGTAGTCGTAGTAGTAGTAATCATGGTGAAGGTAAACAAAGTCGGTGATCATAGTGAACAAGACCATGACAACTATGAGTATACAGAAGAAGACTACCACCCATACACCCATGAGTTAAAAACAGAAGAAGAAGAAGAGATGATTGGCTCTTTCTTTATTTTCAATATAACAATAAATAAAAAAACGTAAAACAGAAAAGTACTCGTCATGTTATTATTAAACTGTGCATGAGCATGTGTGTGTGGGGGGGGGGCGGGGGGGGTGTTTGTTTGTATGGATATATATATGAGCATTTATCATTGGAAATAGATGAATTTTTGAATAAAATAAAAAAACAAAACAAAACAATCTCGCAGCCATTAGTTAGTGACATGTTAGTTGGTTAGTTAGTTAGTTTAATTTGGTTATTTATTCTTTACATGTAAAACTTAACAAAAACAATCACAATTAAAAGTTAAAAAACGAACAAACAGGGAAAAACAACAACAAAATTGTGCATAGAGACAAGAGAACGGAAGAGAGAGAGAGAAAAAATAAGATATCACTGGAGGTTTTAAAGGTGGATATGTGAGGACAGAATATGTCCGGTTACTTTTTTTATAAAAAAAAACTGTATCCATATTGATTAAACTGTGTTAGAAGTATACTGATTAATATAAAAATTGCCTGTTCACTATTTTATTATTGTCTTCTTTCTCCCTTTCTTTCTTTCTTTCTTCAATTATGGCATTGCACCGAATCCTCCGGAACGTTCAAATACTCCTGCATTGGCCATTTCTAGTTTAGCTTTATGTAAACTTGCTCCAGATGATCGATAATATCTATGAACCTACGAAAATAAAAACAACACAAAATAGTATAGTGAAATAAGTGGGTTTGATTTTTAATGTATGAATCAATTGAAACTAGACCATTATGGAAAACCTGGAAGCACTAGATGGCTGTTTCATCCTAGTATAGGACTCCTAAGCAGTCCCATCTACATTCAATTGATTCATGATCTCAACTATTCAAATTACTATAATATCGACAAAAACCCCTACTAATATAAATTTATGTTGAAACTATTGTATATGGAAATTTCTAGGTTGGATCTACAAGTATTGTTAGAAATGATAAAGGTTGTTATTGTTAATTTTTGATAACTAACATAGTAAAGTAGCGGCCTATTGATTAAGGAATTCGACTCCCAGCCATTATATCCCTGAATCGAACTCCGCCTCGTCAACTTCAGTTTAGGCACCCGGATGGTACACTTGGAGTGTGATATATCCAAGCATCTGATCAACGAATTAATGTAATGTAATAAAATAGTGAGAAGATATTTCACACTGAATGAGCTGAAAAAGAAACTGGTTTAGAAGTGGTCATGAAGACCTGAGACCAAAGAACCTAAAAGATCACACGGTCTTTTTGTAAACAAAACTAGATGTGTTGTCAGAGGGTAAGTTATGGTTCTTTTAGAATTAAACTTTTCTAACCTTATCCCACCGCTGTAAGCCAGTATAGCGACAAGAGTTGGTTGTCTGAGAGAAATACCTTACTGTTGTCTTACTTGTGTACACTCGATAGTACACATGTTGATCAACATCTTCAATATTAAAAACATCCTTGAAAGTCCTCAAAAATCAACTTCTTTAACTACCTTCTTCAATTTATTCTTAACCTCAAATGTTACGCTATGATCTTGCGAACACATAGTTTTCCAATGAGAAGTAATCTCGACAGTGAATGTCAAAATCAAAATACACAAGAAGCTACACATAAGACGATCGAAATCACCAAACGATTATCATTAAAATACTTAAGTGACTGAGAAGAATTTTGTTCTATTCAATGTGTTATTTTCAGAAAACAGACCTTAATATTTCATGTAATTCCTGAAAGTTTTTTGTTTTCAACTTCCACTAACAAACTAAATATCTCAGTACATGTATTTATCGAATAGACATGCCCCCCTTCGTCTTCACTTGCATCAACATTAATTAACAAACAAACACCGTGACATCCTCGTTTGTAATCACTTCTTTATCATATTCATAACTGTAACTGACCAATCTCTCTTGCCGTATTTCTATTATGAATCCAGTGTCTCAATATAGTGTCAGTGTGAGCATCAACACTGGCATACAGTTACATCTACTGACAGGTTCCAAATAGAATGAAACGCGAGTCTTTCACTAGACACTGCGAACAAAATACAAACTATACTAAGAACTAGTATTAACAACAATTCAAAATATGTAGCTAACAGTGGAAGATATAATTTGAAACCATTCATGCACCACCTTTGAAACAAACTTTTGAATTCTATCCTAGTTTGAAATTCATCAACATAGTACACCTATAATCTCACAGTAGATCATACTTGAAACCCCCAGCTTTCGTACACCCATTTTCTCAGCTTTAGTCAATTTATGATTATCAATAAGATCAAAAGATCTGTAAACTTTGAAAAAACAGTTTAGTTGACAATAAATATGAAATGCTCAACAAATCTTCAAATGTATATTCGCTTCTACGTCTAACATAAAATATTGAGGAACTTTTACAGTTTAAACCACAAATAGGCTTAAATAGACCAACGTTTAAAATCTTCAAATACTGAACGACTGTTTCATCCTAGTATGGAACTTCTCAGGGACAGCACACATCCGCCACCTCGTATCCCACAACCGAACTCAGGAACATTGGTTTCACAAGCGAATGCTAAACCTCCAGATAACTGAGACTGTATCCAACGATTAAATCACAACACCGCATGATCCTCATCTATTGCCTACAATAAATTACTGTTTCAATATTCGACACAGTTGAACTTCATCGGTCATGGCTTTTCACCATAACTCTACTTTAGCATACATATTTATCGAATAGACATGAATATACAAACAAACATAAATTGAAAAGAGTTCAGTTCGAACAATAACAACAACAGTAAAAAAAAAGAAGAGAAAAACCATGATTAAAATTTACCTTAAATAACAGGAAACTACAAAATCCTGCAAGTATACTGAATATTGTAGCAATCAATAACATTAGAACACCAACACCATCATTACGAGTCATAGTTTTTATACCATTAATCCAACCACTGTATAACACATTCAAATTGTTTTATAGAAAGGTTATATAAAAGAGAAAAAGAAAATTATGTTTGTTCTATTATTATTATTATTATTATCAGCTTTATTCAATATTATATTTTTGGTACAATATAGAATTCTCAGCACAAAGTATTTCAACAAGTTTCCGTTTCTTTCTCCTTGGTCGGTCCTGGCGATAAATATTGAGTGATCGCCACTTAGATGTTAGCAGTTCAGTAAATGAACATCTGAATAATGTGCATTCCTTTCGTTGTATATTGCCAACAACCACGTTGGCTCTTATTGAGTTTTTTGTAACTTTGACAACGAAAGGTTGTACACCTTTCAGAAACGCAGCAGAATAGGTCATGCGATTAATAAACATAATGATATATTAGAACAAACAAAAATAGATAACTTGTTGAAATATCTAGATGGCAGGAACAGGTAGCCCAGATGCTCAAGCAGGCCGCCCTTGTTTTAATATTTCAATTGTATTCACACAATGAGATAAATTATGCTTATTTAGAGAAGTTCAGTGGAACTGTAACTTATGGGCGATCTTTTGAGAGATGCCAAATTGACTTTGAAAGTGTTCACCTAATAATAACCAAGACTAAATGAGGGTTATAAACCAGTGTGTGAGGAATTAGATTTAATGATTTCATCACGAACTAACATCAACTATAATATCAATACTCTATTTAACCAAATGGATGAGTGAATTTCGTGCCAAAATCTGAAACCTCTTATCTTATAGATGATTGGTTCGTTCATAAATTCCGCTAAACTACTATTTTTGTAGTGATATAATCAATATTTTTATTTGATTTAACTTATTTACTAGGTAAACATTTGTATATTTGACTATGAGAGTTATACTTTCAATGTTTGAAGGCTAAGGGATGATATTATTATTTCAGTTACATAAACTGAAAAGTCAATAAAACAGGACTCGAGCTTGAATGTCGAACACCTTAACTACTGAGACACTAATGCATAATAGAAATATGTTAAACCCATAAGACAAGTCCTTGAATCCAACTAATTTAATATAGATTTATTATGATTTGACGTATTGCTTTGGAGCTAGGGTATATGAGTTGTTTGATGTATGTCCTACTGCACAGGTGGGTTGGATGGATGAAAAGAAGCAGAAGTAGATATGTACTGAAAAAAAACAATCATAAGACCCTGGTTATTTGATGTGTATTAGTGAAAGTAAATGTGACTGGTCAAGGGATGTGGAAAAACAGTCACACAGCTTATTGACTATTCAAATAGGTGATTGATTTACTGCTTCAGACTCATTGAGACTGACTGCTTGTAATAATATGGAGCAAAGTATTGTCCAGAGTTACTTTGTATTTCTATCTTGGTCATGAATCAGACATCTGATATAACGTGGTCTTGTCTGTGTATAACGGATCGTTCGCGTTTTCAATCTAGAAGTATTATTAAGTTGACCATTTAGTCCAGTCTTATCGTAGTGGTGTAGTATACAGAAAGTAAGAAAAATGTTTAAAGTACATCCAGGAAAACATTATTCGAGTCATCTTCACGGTGAACAAAAACTTGCAAAAAGCAATCTGTTCATCTGCATAGCATTGAGTAAATCCTTGATATATATATATATATATATATATATATATATATATATATATATTGCTGATCTAAAAACCCTAATTGCTATTTCATTGTCACTTGTCTTATCATTACGACCTGTCATTACGGTACAACCATCCTATTTCTAACTATATAAATTACTGTTGACAATATACTGATACTTGTTTTCTTCCATATTTTGAGTTGTTTAAAAGTGGTACAAACATAGTTTAGAGATGAGAATCGAGAATGCAACCTTTTAGGTTTTTGGGTGAAATTCAACTATCATGTATTACGACAAGTTGTGGAAATAGCTTTGTATAGTGCTCTGAAAGTTTAAAATAACCAACATACAAAAACGTTACTTTCAACAATATAGAGTGAAATCATGGTGTTAAACGTATCAAATGCTTAATTCTATCTTTGAAGAGAATCGACACTATCACTAAATCACAGCACTTAATCTTGAAATAAAACCTTAACCCGATAAGAATAAAGTCTACGAATCAACTAATTAGATAACGGCTGTTGGAACATTTTTGCGCAATATCCATTTATTCATATAGTTACACATCACTTGACATTAAGGTTAATATGAGTTCATGATTAAAAATCCTAATTCTAACAAAGAACAATGTGGAGAATTAAAAATCTCTTTTATTGATCTTTGTGAATGTTAGAGAACATAGATAATCTATATCCGTTTGGATAAATCTATATGTTATCAGAAGGGGTTTGTGGAGATTTTAGAAATTTCACAGGTTGAAATCATGAATCAATGATGGTCTAGTTGGTTAAGCGCCTGGCGCGAGACTGATGGGTCCTGGGTTCGAATTTCCCGGAGCGCGGGATCGTAGATGTGCACTGCTGAGGAGTCCCATACTGATACGAAACAGCCGTCCAGTGCTTCCAGGTTCTCTAGCTTCAATTGACTCATGATTTCAATCTGTGAAATCTGTATGTTGTTTTATTTTTTCGATTAGCAAACAGAGTAACCTATAGATGACTTTAAAAAAAGATTCACTAATTATTTAAAACCTATTTACACTATTGTTATCTTTTCCATAAATTATTCATCTAGAAAGTGGCTGGAAAAAATTTAAGGGTTGATTGAATTTCGTCTTTATACCCTATAATTTGGGATACATGTTCATGAATTTGCGATGTATCCGTTTTTTTTCTAATGTTCAACATGTATGAGGTATCAAGCCTTTCTTCTCTCGTCCAATAAGTACCGCGTGCAGGAGGCTAATTTTCACGGTAGATTTCATTTTATCAGAGGGGGGTATTGTGGAGATTTAAGCAATCTTAATATTTGAATTCATGAGTCAACTGAAGCTAGACCACCATGGGAAACCTGGATGGTCATTTCGTCCTAGTATGGAACTCCTCAGCAGTATTGTATCCACGACCCCGCTAAGCGAGATTCGAACTCAGGACCTATCAGTCTTGCGTGCGGAACATTAATGACAGGTATGAATAGCAGTAAATGATTGAAATGAAAATCAATATTCTTTTATGGAACAGCATTGACCTATTCAACTGACGGTATAATCTTTAAAAATGTTGGATAATTCTTGTTCAAACTGTTTATGGCTTTTACCTATTTGGTTAACGATTTTTGTGTGCAACTATATTTTGTTTTAATTATCGTTTACTTATAGTGATTTAAAGAATTTCATAAATGGAAGTGTCAAAAATATAGATTTTATAAAAATTAATTTATTATACTATTTGTACCCGTATTTAAACCGGTCCAGTTATTTTTTCTCAAGACGTTTTAATAACTTGTTTTCTATTGTTGTTGTTGTTATGAATTTTAATCGGAATATATATTCATTTGAGGAGGAAGCCGAAAAAAGGAAGTTTAGAGGTGAAAGTCGATGTAGGAGGAATAATAGAAAGTGAAGACGGAGGTTGATTATGAATACAGTGGTCTTGAGTGCTGTTAGAGGTATGAGAGCGGTTATCACTTCCCGATTGCCCACACCGTGGAAGGGTTGTTCTGGAGGTACCTGAAGAAAATTGGATTAGAGCTGGTCTTAGTGACCTGTGGGCGTGACCGCAGTGCCCAAGGGGCAACTGCTTTAGGTCGGTCACACACGACCTTTATATGGGTAATTTTCCTGTTAGCTCCGTACTTTTTGGGACCTTACCGCCGGAGACGGATATCCGTGGGATAAGGCGAGGTGTGCATTTTTAGGGTCGACCATTTCTAACCCCACCCCTCCTTGTGGGAAGGCAGCATCGCTGTCATGCTGGTTGTCTGAAGGAAACACCTTACTGCTGTCACACCACTGTACAGTCAGCAGTACGACTTCGCCTTCGGACCTTGGGTTTGTTGCATTTAGTCTTACCGCTCTTCAACCGACTTTTCTGACGTGGTAGGACCTTGAGGAACAGTTGTTCCAGTCAGTATAGCTCAGTTGCTCCATCACGATAGGCAAGCCCGACCACCACGTCAACGTAGCAACAACGGTCGAGGGAATATGTATTTTTATTGATTAGTAGTACTATTTGAGTTCTGAATTAATTGAATCTAGTTCTCAAGTTTCCTCAAGTTATTTCACTCGACCTACATAATACTATATACATTCATAATGTGACTGACTATGCAACATCCTATGTATTGAGTCTGATTGATTAATGCATTTTATACACTACCGATGAATGTTATGTACTGTTTATCATGACGAATGAATTAGTTAAGATACAGAGAAAGAGAGAGAGATAAAAGATTATCGGAACTAACCAAAAACTTAAACTTTCTCACACGGTTGCACAAAACTACAATGTTAAATTGACAGCCTTCATTTTGATCAACAATAGTTAATGCTATAAAAATGTTTCGTTTCCCATCAAAATCAAAGAGAAATACACAAACCTTACTTTACATATGGATTAACAATTAGTGGTGTGGTGTATGCTACTTGTGTTGACAGATATAAGTAGTATGTAATACCAAACAGAAGTGGAATGCAAGGCAGAAGATTGAGATCAAATTCAAGAAAAAGATAAAACACAAGAAGAACGAATTAGTTCGTAGAAATAAAGATAGAAAGTAATTCTAATCTCATGGTTTAGAGGGAAGACAAATAGTGTATACACTTACACCATTGTAATCGATTCGGAACCACGTCACACACAGTCTCCAACCATTGGTTACGATAGTCACACGGACACCAAACATGTAGTCTGTGTCTGCCAACATTGCTAAGATCAGAAGTTAGTGACTTCAATGACTGATGCCACGTCTTCGTTTGGCCGTCTCTAACTTTCTCCCAACCATCTCCAACACTTGTCAGCATTGCGCGTCATGGTAAATGGTGTTCAGGCATACGTAACACGTGGCCCAACCATCTCAGTCGATGAAGATTAACAACCTCATCAACTGATTCACCATCATTCCCTAACACCCTGCGTCTAACCTCACCATTACTTACCCGGTGATCCCAGCAGATGCAAGCAATATTTCTAAGGCATCTGTGGTCAAATACTAGTAGCTTACGAGTATCTTCTACTGTAAATGGCCACATTTCGCAGCCGTAAAGTAGAATAGAACGAACTGCCGCGCAGTATACTCGGTCCTTTTATTGATAGACAGATATCTCGCCTTCGCTATAGGTGACGTAAGTTGGCAAAAGCCAAACGAGCTTTTCGAATCCGTGCTGAGATTTCGTCAGACACCAACCCATTAGGGCTGATCAGACTTCCAAGGTGAGTAATCGACGTCTCTCTTCAATTCCAATTATTCCTCCTACATTGGAAGATATGTAAATGATGCATTGAATGTGTGGATTTCATATTTTACTCAAACAATCTGTGATTTTGCATTAAACAAGAAATTGGTCTTCCCCATATGAATCTTCGTTCACTAAAGTAGTAATCCCATAAAAGTGATAAACATATGATAAGTGTACAGAATTTCCAATTCTATTAACTAATTAAACGATTTATAATGAACATATGTTTCGTACACTGACTAAGATATGTATGATTCATTGAAAATATGACAGTTAGGTATAGAGGTGTGATATTTACAACCTTGTTTAGGGTAACAAGTTCAACACAACCGATAATAACTTCAAGGTTACGTAATACCAACGTTGTTATGGTACTATTAATCTAGTCTAGTCTACTTAAACTTACAAAAACAGTTTCTAATACTCTAGGAAAGAGAGAGAGAGAGAAAGAGTAGAAAATAGACACATTGTCACTTGGTAAAAATAATAACTAGGACTGTTTACTAAATTTTCATTGATCACACACAGTTGATTGTTCGTTTCACACGATATCGATTTACGGTAACTCATATAAATATAACATAAAAAATTCCACAACAAAAAAACTGTCTAAAAAGGTCCCAACAGCAACAAAAAACAATAACAAGTCACTAATAAAAGAAATGTAAAACTATTATGATCAATAAAGGTGAAAGAATAAAGTTAGAAGGTATTTTATAAATTGTAGGCTTCATCTTATCAAATCGATTGGACTAATTAAGCAACAGCAGAAGAAGAAGAAGAAGGAGAGGAAAGGAAGAAGGATGGGAGGAGGAGGAGGAAGAAGAAGAAAAGAAGGGGAGGAAAACTATGAGGAGAAATAAGTAGAAGTATATAAATTGATTTATCTGGCAATAACAATTATATTAGTTGGATCAATAATGTATTGAATAAGTACAAAGTGCAGTTTTAATTACCATGATTCTGAGCAACGTACTCTTCATGTTTAATAAGGAAAAGGGTGTTTACAGCAAGTCTATGAGATTATTCTAAACAGAATAGGTACGTATTGACACTAATATTTTACTTTTAAAAAAAAACATGTATTCAAGCTTACCATGATCCAAGATAATCAATTCCAAGGCATTGTATTAAAATAATAACGGTTTGTCCAGAAAAGAAAAGGAAAAATAATAAATAATTCGCTGAACTATCTGATCTATTAAGGTAAACAAAATGGAAATAAAAGAGAAAAATATATCAAAAGATGATTAGGTTTATATGAAAGTGAAAAGAAAACTTGTTCAACTTATAGTGATATATTACACTAACTACAAATTTGTATGTACTCAGCAATGAGTTATAGCTTGAGATATGATAATTAATGACAGAAGTACGTCGAATAGGCTTATTTATTTATATATTTGAACACAAATATTGGTACAAAAGGGTAACGAATACATATGCGCTACACAAGTCGCTTGGTTTGTATGTGGGCTGTGATACTGCCCGAGTTCTCAGACCGAAGCAGGTGGTTGTCTTAGAGGTCCAGACCCGGAGCCTCTGACCTAAAGGTCTGATTCATAAGGCAGTGGAGCAACGTAAGGAGATGTAGTCTCATGGTAACCGGTGACCAACAATTGGTTCATACGCCATTTGTTCCCGCAGGATACTGGAGCCCATGTGCACCAGTGGTTTGTAATCAGGTTTTTCCAACTCCCCTAGATGGAACCTCCGTGTCCGCCAACCCGGTTAAAGCGCTTTTCGTCCTCCAAATTTCGTAAAGAACACCCCGAACTCGAGAAGGCAGTGAGTAAGACTTCCCTGGCAGTGGTTGTATACGCGTAGCCATGTGAGAGCATTTCGAGATTTTGACTTACTCCCACCCTCGGTCGTACCAGGGCATTTCGGGGCTTGTGGAGGATGATATTATGTCAAGACCACATAGGTCATTCTAGCTTCTGGACAGACCCATTTGTTCATTCTTCTCAAGCCACACTTTGACCTTGTCAGTTGTTTGTTTATTAATCTTGACCCTTTTTTATTTGATCGTATTTGTGCTAATTGCTCACCCTATTCAATACGTGTCTGTACTTTATTTTTGTCTGGATATAAATATTGAGTTATGTTTGATCAACTCGAGCTGGCTCTTCGTTGCACGTCATTTCGTTTTGTTTCTCTAATTGTCTGTTTGGATCAATGAAAGTGAGAAATATACATATTCAAAATTCGTTCTGATATTTGGCTTATTTTGTTCCATTATTTCTATAGCGCGAATTGAGACGATAGAAATATACGAGGGTTCGAGGTATGTATATTTCGAAGACAATCATCGTATGATCTAATTGGTGTCAGTTACATGGTCATTAAGAACTGACAGATTTAATAGCTGGAATCTGGATATATTAAAAGAACTACTTGTTAGCCCCCAAATGCCCTGGTACGGTCGAGAGTGGGGAGAGTCAGCTCTCGCTTTCGAAATGTTCTCACATAACCACGTGCGCACAACCACTGCCAGGGAAGTCCTACTCAATCTTTTCGCGGCAGGGGTGTTGTTTATGAAATTTAGAGGACGAAAAGCGAAACTTTAACCAGGCTGGAAGATATGGAGGATCCACCTAGGAGAGTTGGAAACCCTCGATTTTAAACCAATGGTGTACATACATGGGCTCCAGCATCCTGAAGGAAAAAATGACGTATGAACCTAATGTTGGTCACCGGTTACCATGAGACTGCATCTTCTTACGTTGCTCCACTGTCTTGTGGACTAGACCTGTGGGTTGAAGGCTCCGGCTGTTACCTCCTAATAAAACCACCTGTTTCGGTTTGGTCACCCGGACAGTATCCAAACCCTCACACAAGTCGAATGATTTATGTGGCATATACCTGTTTAGTGCCTCCGTGTACCAATGTGTTTAAATAATAAAAATAAATAACGTGTTGGGGAAATATAAAGTTATTTACTTAATTCAAACATACTAATTTACTAAGTCTTGAAATACATGATTGTTAATTGAAACTGAAGAACGCTCAGTTGGATTCGAATTTGTTTACTTCATTACCATAAATTACCTGGTAATATTCTTAATGAATAAATTAGAAAGTAAATAGATTTTGTTATGTCCGAATGAAGAATAAATGTGAATGGTAACTTGCGGGAATTATTTGTAAACTGTTATTACATATTTCTTCTTATTGGAATGAATATTAAGTAACTAGACCATATATATTCGTATTCCTTTAACCATGATCTTTCATTTGACTTATTGGCTACTGCAATACGATTAACCATTCTTTGTTTATTCCCAGTTTATTAGTTACACTATCCCATACTCACAACCACTTTGGCTTGATCTTGTGTAATTATTAATTTTTATTTTATGATATGATGCGGTCTGATGTGTTTCTATATAAAACTGCGTATGTCTGAAACATGTGATTCATACAGTGAAAGCTGATATTGTATTCTGTACTGAAAAGCTACGGCAAGGTGAGAAGCTACTGTACAGAGGACCAATAAGGACTCAAAGTTGACTCGAGGCTGCTAGTACTGAATAACGCGTCATTAGTTTGGCACAGTGTCAAGGTCATATAAGTCGTGTTCTAATTGGCGATTCAGTCATATGATATTATGCATGTATGTAAAAAAATCCTAATTTCTAAACTGATAAGGTTTAATATCTGTTAATACAATTTTAAATGAATCTACTAGAAAGTAGTTCAAATTTGACAATGAACTGATACATAGTTTTAAGTGGGGTTTTGTTCGCTGAGCTGAATAGAGCTTTGATTGGCTGTTTAACTAAGATCAGTTAGTAGTTTGAACTACGAAAATTCTGCGATCTCTAAAAATCTCCTCTACACTGATATTGAGAAATTTTTTTTGAAAAAAGGACAAACATTTACCTTAGTGCTTTATACAAAGGTCGATGCCATCCGAAAAAGCTGATAGGTGGCATAACAAGCACTAATAAAATTGATGCACCAAACAATGGTCCTTCAGCTGCACCGTTACCAACAATAAAATAGCCTAGTGCTCCAAACATATTGAATATTAACAAGATAGCATAGCCCAACCAAATACCATAACCCATTTTTGCCATCCATCGACAATCGAATGGAATATCATTTTCAAAATCCTGTCGAACACATGGTTTGCATGGACAGAATGGAGGGAATGGTGGCCAATTATGTGGACCTACAAAATAAAAAGAATCTTTTTTTTAACAAAACAACTATTACATATGATTATTGTGGACAGTGGTAAATATACAAGTTTATATTTGGGAAAAAAATAGTACCCAGTCATAATCAATCTTAAATACTAGCATGAATGTACTGTTGAGCCTAAGGAAAGTATATTAAGCAAATATAGGAAATCGAACGACGAAGTTGTGAATCTTTACCAACTAAGGAGATTAGGGAATGGTGTTACGTATGTCTTGATACCTATATCGATATGAGGTACATATTAGTCTAAGCTATGTCAGTGAGTGCAGACTTTCTGGTCAGCATTCCCTTAATAACTGTGATCAATGATCTATATGCCTCAAAATAGGTCACAGTAGATTAGATCAATTCACTTTTTATCGATATCTGATTACCAGTGTCCCTTCATGTATACCTTTTTTATCCTTTCTTCTTGAACCATATTCTCAATGCTTAATCTTTCTCACTACCATTGATATTATAATTATTTTGACTGCTTAATTATGGCAGTACTTTGCTTTCATATTATTGCGTTAGTGTAGGTACGGCAATTTAAAATCTGTGTTGATTATGACCGGTTGACAGAATATGTATCTTATACTAATATGAACAGATAGGGAATTTCAATAGTTTAGACCATGAGTCAATTGAGGCTAGACCATCATAGAAAACCTGGAAGCACTGAACGGACGTTTCGTCCTATTGTGGGACTTCTCAGGGAATTAACAAAATGAGAAGAGAGATTAATTTCATTTACAATGGGAATTTAAGCATGAGAATTTGACAGTTCACATGATGAAAAGTTGACTAAAAGTTTGTAGAAAGCTAAGTAGAATGAATGCAACTGTGCCATGATAACAAATTTCGCGCTTTATCAGTCAAAGTTTCAAGTTAAAGAGATTAAAAATTTTGTTAGGTGGGCCTCATATCCAGGAAGTTTGAACCTACCGAAATGGTTTAGATCAGTATTCTATGAACTGACGTCACATCTTGGGGTTGTGTAGAAGGTTTAGTTGTGAACAATGAATTAAGCATTGCGCGCAAGTGTTCATAGGCGTCCTCTTAATCATAACTATCACGTTGACTGAGGATGGACGGACGGACAGACAGACAGATATTACTAACACAGAGCCTGGCCTAAGTTGCCAGACCATATTAAGATGACGAGACAAAAATAGCAAGAGAAAAAATTAATGTAGTAGCGATGGTAAAAAGAAAGACTAAACCTTGGGGATACGGATTGAAAAAGATAGAATGAGAAGGTATTCATGAATAAACATTGGTGCGCAAAAACCAGAAGATAGGGAAGAAATTTATGTGCTTCCGTGTGATCAATTCTGAGCCATGTCACACTTCTCCAACCCCTGATCGCAATTATCACTTCGATCCCAACCAGATAGTTTACATCTACGAATATGTCACAGACCAACAGTCAACAACTTCATGAACTGATGTCACGTTTTGATTCGGACACTTCTATCTTCCTTCCAACCTACTTCTAAACGTATCGAGTGAAGATTCACTACTTCACCAACTGATCTGTCATCCTTATCAATTACCTCAACATGACTATTTATTCGATCATTTCACAAAATGTGAACAAAGGTATTTACGGTTGAAAAAAAACAACCCATTAGCCTACAAATGTCTCCGACTTTCCATTGACTACAGAAATAATGATAGTACATCTTTAAGCTGAAAAATTCCAATATCACAGAATCAATCACTATTCATAGTTTAACAGATTAATCTTTGAATAACAGACAAAATGTACATTTTTAACTACAAAATGTATTTGTAATGTTTTCAATGAAATACATGTAACTTTCTTCTTGGTGTTGTTGTTCTCTCCATAGTTTATTCACAAAAAAACAAAACAAGAAGAAACCCTATTTAAATTATAAATTACTATCTAATTATAGAATATAAAATGAGTTGCTATATGAATGGTGAAGCACATTTTTAATGTATAAAGTATCCATTTAAGTGATTATTAAAATGATTGACTAGAGTAGTGATGGTGGAGGGGGGGTGGAGAAAGAGGAAAGAGACAAGAGTAATGACGTAAACATAAAGATATTACATATATATATTTAAGCATATGATTCAAACTATTTTAATTGTGTGCATTTTTTTGGTAAAAACATTTTGGAAAATGAAAAACAAACAAGCAAAACTTATGAAAATGGAATGTACCTTTTAAAACATGTAAAACAAAGATGATAGACTATGAAGTTATTATTATTATTATTATTATGATTCTGAAATGAAATAAATGAATTAAACTGGAGACAACTAAAGAGAGAAAATCAATCAGAAGGGGTTGTTTTGTGGATAGTATAGTAATTTTAATAGTTGAGATCATGATTTTCATTGAAGCTAGACCACTAAGGAGAACTTGGAAGCACTGGATGGCCGTTTCGTTCTACTAGTATGGAACTCCTCAGCGATGTGCATCCATGATCCTATCTCGTGAGATCCGAACACAGGACCTATCGGTCCCGTGCGTAAACGTACAACCTCTAGACGACTGAACCGGTATCTAATGGTGTTAATGTCTAACTTCAACACATCCACGATTGTTCTCAGTGTTACTATCTCACAAAAGACCAGGTTGAACTCCACTGGTCACTGTTTCTTACTAGAAGTCAGTCACTAGTGAGCATATGTTGATTAGTATCAGAAGGGTTTTTTTGAATATTATAGTAATTTTAATAGTTGCAATCATGATTCAATTGAAGCTAGACCACCATGGAAAACCTGGATATCATTACTAGTAAACGTTTCGACTTTTTACTGAAATCTGATTAGTCTTAGTTGAAATATGTGCATTTTGTGCGAATTATCTTAATAGAGCCATTATATCATATATATATAGGGAACAGATGGATTGTAGTTAGAAGTGGAGTTTAACATGCAAGTTTTGTCCTGTCTTGAACTCTTCAGTTGAATTCATTAGCTCAACAGATAATGTGTTGATGTTTGAAGCAAAACAATAGTATCCGGTTCGAGTTTCAGTGTGAATATCAACATTGAAATGTATGCACATCCAGTTGACAAGTTTCAAACAAGACAAAACACGTATCCACCTCAAACCATAATCTATCTCTTTTCTAAAACTAGTAGAAAAAATATATAGTTCATCAACTGATACTATACATAGATGATACAACCTATTGAAAAGTGTTTAGATCAAAGTAGTTAACAAAATCAGACATTGTATATAGAGAAACTATTTTTTTCTCACAAACAAAACACAACGAGGAACAAATGTGATAACATAACTGCTGATATGTTTTAGGCAATAAATTATAGTTTATAACTTAAGGGATAGACTAATTCCATTATCATAATCATCCCTAGTTCTCCACATCAAAATCAACTGGTGTAATCTAGGGTTAAAGTTAATACCTTCACTACAAAATTCATTTCAACTCATCGAAAATAACTGATTAAGTCAGTCGAAATCAAATTCGAATTTGAAGTAGGACAGTGTTAAAAACGCAAGTCAAACTCAACAATCTTCACGATACCTTATAGTTACACGCATCATGTGCTTACTAGTGACTAAATTCGAGAAGTAAATATCTGGGTTCTAGTGAGAAGTCATGATCAATGAAGTTTCAGCTAAGTCGGGGGGAGTGAGGCAATGGAGGATAGTCACGCAATATCATCACTTGACCGAAGTTACCAATGTTAAGCCATTAGGTGACAACTTAGTAATCAGGAGGTTAGGTGGTCGCTACAATGTCTAAAGACTTTGGATTTGATCCCCGGTGGGGACTCGGACTTGTATTAATGGAGAAATAGCTATCTAGTGCCTCCTAGTTTTCAACGGTCGTTTAATAAAGATAATCCAGTTGTATGATACTTCATTATAGACTATTAGATATTTATGTATATATCAAATTTATTTGAAAGCTCAACCTACAATCGATTAAATAAAGGCAAAATAGTAAGTAAAAGTAAATTGTAAATAAAATAATACTGAGTATGTGAAGTTTTATGTTAGACAGAAAAGTTTGTGAGTCATTTTATGGGGGAACAGCATATGGATACAGACAATTACATATACATACATACATACACCTAAACCATTATACACGAGCAGAACATGGAGCCTGGAGTAACAAGGTAATACTGGAAAGTGGAATTCTCATTTCACATGATGAAAAAACACTACAGAGTGGTTGAAAGATACAAACAACAACTTAATTAGACAGAATAAGAAACATTTACTGTGTAGAAGTATATATACACATGTGTCAGTGTGTACATGTGAGTATGGTCTATGTGAAGAGGATAAAGACTAGTCATGATTATTATATCATTACTAAGTAGAAAATACGAGATCACATCAAAACAATACTACATACCAAACATTCTTTATATGCAATTTTTATTGATGATGTGTACTGAGAATTTCGTACTGCACTGAACAAATTATTATTGCTACTAAAATATAGGCAATTAAAGACGCGATTCATTTTATGGTAATGAGTAGGGTTGTCTTCGAAGCATTGCTCGTATATCCTGGGACCATCGAGTAAGTAATGCAGTTGTTAGAAAACAGGTACTAGGTAAGGATGGCAAATCAATTGATGAGGTAGTGAGACTTCATCAGTTGAGATGGCTGGAACATGTGTTACATATACCTAACCATCGACTGCCTCGATGTGCGATGTTCAGTGGTATAGGAGTAGATTGGAAGAAAGCTAGGGGCGGCCAGACCAAAACATGGCACAAGTTTATAAAGTCATTGACAAGTGGACTGAGTCATATTGGTAGGTGTAGACTACCTGGTTAGGGACCACAAGATGATAGCAACCGGTGGTTAGAGACCCTGAATGGCATGGCTCAAAATCGTTTGCGATGGCGCAGGTGCATCTACTCTTTGTGTTCTCCCAAATTGTAATCTGAATTTTTCGTGTCCCTTATTTTCCTCTTTTCAAATTTATTTCACTGGATTATTCTCCTTGAATAACATCT